TTCTTTAAAAGTATTCACATTCAATGCAAATAATGAAATGCTCACCAATTATATTTTATATACTAATGAGTACACGTTCTTCTCCCTATCGATTTTCTTTCAATGCCAAGATGCGCTCTTTCTGTAGAGATGGTTGAATTGTCAGTTCCATAAAATTTTCAAAATATTTCATCAGCTCAACAGGTAGTCGTCTAAATATTATCTTCAACTTGCATTCCTTTTCTAAACATCCATTCAGAGATGTATCCACTGTGTTGATACAATTTCATTTTACATAAACAAATCATTATATTGAGTCTTTAACAAATTTTTCGAATTATCAAATTACCTACATTCTGATTATAAAATACTCAGAAATTCCCAAACTCTGTGTAAGATACGTTGCGTGTGCAGCACATATTGGTCTAATCCGTGCAATTCGTCATTATTAACACCATTACTGCGATCACTGTTATTAGACAGCATTTAAGCCGCTGTTCGAGATTGCGGCCAATGTGACATTTACCCTTTGTGCCACCCTAAGATAATGTAGATTACCTTTATTTCCTCCACATTGAGAAAGCCTAACAAATTTCTACATCAATGATGTGTTCTCACCTCCAATCACAGCACATCAAGCATCGGCTACCGTCTAGTCTCGGTTTCATGCGATCGAATCAGGAGTGTCGTTACGGTCTACCTCTGGTCGGCATGTCTACGGGCTTCCTACCGAATTTTTTTGAATTAGTCCAAAAAAGTTCGAGTAGCGATCGAGTAGATAATGATCGATTAAAGATCTAGTTACCTCGAGAATAAATCAAGTCTAACGGTCTAGTTGGCGGTTCAACATCGGTATACATCTCTTACCCGATCATGTACACGGATCATCTCGACTTCCTACTCGAGCTATCCATTTGTCGGTAGAAATCTGGTAGACATGATCGAGCACAGATGTCCATTAGTCTATTGAGACACATCAGATTATTATTTTAAAACATTCATTTTGACAAAACGACAGCTATATTAAGAGCTATTTAAAATGCAGGAAATAAATCTGCCAACATTGATATTCAAATAAATAATAATTCAGCGAATACACAAATAAGAGTGACATTACTTCTAAACCATGTAGTTTTATAAATGACCTGAAAAATAATAGTAAAATGTATGTTAAGTAACACCATTACATGTAACGAAAAGTATTAAAGTATTTACAAAGCTACATATGAATGAAGCATTATTTCATTTATGAATCAATATTAATATTTCCATACAACAAATTATAGTATTAACATACATTGAAAAAACAATACCTAAGATATAACATTAAACAATAAGTTAACATAGCACTGTAAAACATAATCTAAAATACTTTTAACATAACCCCCAAATTAGTTTAGCATTCATTGAGTCTCATATATAAATAGTGTATTATTTCTCATAGCCTTTTTTATAAATGGCCTCTTAGGACTATCGATCAGAATGTGAAAACCAGAGACAAGCTGCAAAACTGCTCTATCCACTCAATTTTATTTATCTGTCAGAATGCTTGAAATCCCATTATATGTATGATACTTCGTTGAAAGCATAGTATTTCTGCAGCAGCATGTTTACGTTATAGCTTTACATTTGTGCGAATTTTTCGTATTAGTCAAAGTACATATAAACACTTTCATCGCAAAGAGACATCCTACAGCCACAAGCTCTCTAATTCGACATTGCAGAGTCTGAATACACAAAGTACTAGCTACATAGTATGATCACAACTTCGCTACGTTAAGTACATCTCACTCTATATCAAATTAGACGTCCGACAAAATCGCGAAACGTCTTTGCTCCAGAAGCCTGCTCCTTCTTAGTCAGAGGTCCAATAATGTCACATTCAGTCTTATTTTATACAAGGCATTTCAATATATTTTCACCCTTTAGATGAGGTGCTTACATATCAGATAATACAAATTCGCCTGTAGATGATGGCACAAATAAAATCATATATTCATTTATATAATTCTTAGGGACTAAAGTTATAGTAGCTTTTAAAAACACCACAGTGTTATCTAACCGCAAGACTGAACAAAAATAATTTATCACACCAATTTCAATGTGTGTTATTTTCTCTCATCTAACCACATCCGCACTATTATTTTATCCCAACAATCGTAAAAATCATTGTAAATAGACGCCACTATAGATCCATCCAATCTTCACTTAGTCTCAGTTGTTTTGCACCTGCCTACTAGATTATCAATCATTAATTATGTGACATCGATCCTTCTCGCTCTCTCCACTAATACAAAATTACAAACTTGTCTCTGAGATCTTAATTATCAGACTTTTTTTAATGGAATATTCTTCCGTTTCATACTTCAATCCCATTCCGCGCCTAAGTTGCTATTTAACAAATAATCTCACTAACGAGAGATGTTGACTCCTAAGAAAACAACTCATATCTTAAAATTATACAACCCCAATCTATCGCGCTACAAAATTAATCTTGTCATCATACTCTCCAATCCTCGATACAGACAAATCGTGCAACCATCTGTTCGTTCCTGAAATACTTCACTTATAGTAAAGCTACCTGCCATCACTCGTTCATAACTGCGCCCATCTACTAACCCTGTACCTTCTGAAAGTAGTCTGAACAACTTCTATTATTTACACAGATCTACTTAGAATCGTTTAAAAAACTATCAAATTCAATCTTCGATACTCTCTCTAACACCTTCTCCCTACCCGCTCTCTCCTCCTCTTTCTCATAATTCTATTCATCCACAGATCAACTGAATCCATACCATCATCCTATCAAACATTATCGTAAACAATTACAACACACAACCCTTCCCACCTCAAACTTCTTATCTCCTTCCAAACATTCGACCTTTACTATACACTTTCCTTCTACTCACCACTCCCTACCTCAACCCCTACTCAATGATCTGACTACATCAATAAATATATCTCTATACAAAACTGCTTGGAATTGCTGTATTCATTTAACGCCTTATAATGGTTGATGTCTACTTGAATGACCATCATCCATCTAATTTCTAAATAACCCTACTCTCCACTTCTTAAGACTAGCGCTCATAAATTAAATAGTTATCTGCGACATCAAACTAATCATACTGCGTCTGATGTTAGAACAAACTCTATCTCACTTCCCTATACACTCCCCACCAATACCATCTTTCAATTATCAGTTTAATTTCATCAACCTGGTCTTCAACTGATTATCCCGTTCATCTCTGAAACCATACCATATCTCCTCCCTCCACACCACAACATCTCTACATTTATTTAATACTACACGCTCATGTACACTTCGCCCATCTCACTCAACTAGTATCAATCCTCGAGCATTAATCTGCACCTTAGTCATCATGTCAAATTGTGCATATCACGTTTTTGACAGTCTACTACGCTTAACAGAACTACAATGATTAATTTTAGTATTTAAAAATATTACAGCAATATCATTAAATGCCCAATACATCCTCATCATAACTAATAACTCTCGAGCCAAATATACTACCTAACAAACACTAAATGGAAACAAAACCAAATAATATTACTCTACCATGGCTCTATACATACCACATGGAACATAAATTCTCAACCAACGCTCTTAACATTTCAAAAATTATATAATGAATTGCAGCAATATCGCTTTTACCTCTTTCAATCCACTTACTATCAATCCTTCCTTGGCAAATATCCGCCTTCTTTAACAAAACCCTCTTTTGGTCGCTCGAAATCTACTTTATTTTTAGCACCCGAACCCACTACTAGAATAAAGATAATTCTTTTATCATCAAAATGATTGTTGCCGAAATGCAACCCATGAAAAACCAAATTCGTAATGGACCAACAAGTAACAAAGCCCTCTTTTGCACCTCTGAAATCCTGATGAGTCCAAACCATCCTGTTACAACCGACTCATATGCCCTGGAATGGATGATATTTATTTATAATATTCACTGTGCCCTACTTATTTATCATTTGTTGCCATCACAATTTGCGATCCTGCCTACACATACTCTCTGTCTCCACTACATCCTAAACATTACCACTCTACATTCCTGTAACTTAATATAATCCTATGATAATCACATCTCAACCTACTACGCTCCGCCACCTGTCCCAGTGAACCGCACATACCCGCCCACTTATACGTCAACCTCCTACCTACTGATCAACTCAACCTGATTACCACACCCAGCTAATCTGGAAAATAATGTATTCTCGATCCTCTACATAGCCATCTGTCCTGCTGCCTAATATATCTGTTAATCATATGTATCTTACATAAACTTCCATCATCCTCACACATTCTGATAATATCATTCACTTATATCCAGCACCAATTAACTCAAATAAAGTTACTCAATACTAACCCTCAACTATCTATAACCACTATCCCATATAAATATATCTATTTACACATCAATTTAATTGCAATTGATCCATCACCATATATAGACTCTCATATCAGAACATAATCTTTTGCTCTATCTATTGATATGTTCATCACACACCCACACATATGCCTTCGCGCAACAGACCTCCGATTTTTTTAATACACTCATTTCACTCATAACGCTCTCTAACTCTATCCTGCCTCTCTCTCGTACAAATTTTTATGATGTTCGTTACTGTGGAATTATAAAACACAGGAAATAAATCATAATATATTCTAATAATGTCTGACTCCAATACGATTATTGCATTGAAGAAATACTCTATTGCTAACATTCTACAGAAAATACATATTAAGCGCTAACGCACCGATCGATGGGCCCGTATTCTGAGTATTAACGATAATTACACGTTACGATAATAATTTCTGGCCGACTCATTATTCATACCATAGAAAAATCAACTTATAGCTACCTCAACACTAAATCCTCAGCTTTATACATACACTTATATATTCACTCATCTCCTTTGTAGAGTATGATCACAACATAGAGGCAATAATTCGTTATACAATAATTCGTTATAATATATAAAATGGCGCCAACATGGAAAGTTATAATTTAGAGAAATCAGCAAAAAGTTTATGATCGGATTCGTATAACCTGGGATCTTCTGTCCCAGGTATAACACATTGAAGGTATACTGCACATTTATGTGTGTGCAAATTTATTTTATTTTTCTTTATTTTTATCGTTTTTAAATCTCCGGGTCCAAACCCAGTTGTAAAACTGTTTTAACCATAGGTGTTTGGTGCGTTGATTGGTCACTACCCCCGGGCCCTCCTCACCCACTCTACAACCCTCCTACCGCTAAAAACCATGTTAACTGCAGTATTTTTTCATTTGAAACATGTTTTCATATTTGGTATATGCTTTTATTTCAATTACCTCCATTTCCCACAAAAAATGATATATCTATTATTCATTTATAATTAAAAAAAATATGAATGATCGCTAAATTGTTTTAATAATAAAAACAAACCATTCTAGTTGGAGAAAAGTCCAACCATCCAACCATCCATCCATATTTCTGTTACTTACTATACCAGTATAGATGGTTCTTATATTAGACCTGACTTTGTTAAATGACAGCGGCCGCCATTTTCAAAAGTGGTGTATTTCACGTAAGAAAGATAATTGTGTTTGTTTCAGGGGGATATCATTTGGGTTTGATAGTCATACACCTTTTAAAAGAAAGAAATCTTATTTGAGGATTGTAACAGACAATAAATTAGTGTCGACAGATGTAAAAACATTCCAAAAGTGACTAGTAAAATGGAAAACATGGAATTGGCACAAAATACCCAAATATACCCAAATACACCCAAATATACCCAAATATAGCAATTTTTATTTTTGTTTGTAAAGAATATAGATTATAATGAGAAATAAATATTTATAAAATAATATGACCGAGCCTGCTATAACTTTCATACATTCCGTTGAAATGGGCAGTTAGTAATTGTGCCTCATATTTCCGTGGTACTTAACTGTTTAACACAGACAACAAAAGTTAAGAGGATAAAATTCTGGAAAACAAAGTGAATATTGTAGGATAGACATGTCAATTGCATCATAGTTTATTCTATTTAATGTTTGCATGTAAGCAATTATGTATACAACATTGTAATTAACACACATCTGCAGCCTAGTGAGTAAATTTGTGTTCTCGTATTTCCAAGGCAATAACATTTTAACAGTTTCAAAAGCAAAACCAATAGTAAACTTTATTTATTAGTACACCTATACCTAGGCTCATCTGAAAGGGGCGATTTTCTCTTTGGCATTTATCAAATACCTCAATGGTTCTTTAAGAAAGAAGATTTTTTTAAAAGGTATTAAATCTAAAAGAAAAATGGTGAAATATTAAATAACTTTGCTCTTAATCTGAATAAAATATTTTTTTTTAGTTCTATATGTTCTATTTCGATAAAAATACAATAAAATAGTAAAAGTAAAACTACTGGCAGGTTCATTAAGTCTAGGAGGCACTTTAAACTGTTTAAGCCATATACCTTGGAAATATGGGTACCTCGGAAATATGAGGCACCAGTATAGTCTACAATTGTGAGGGAACTCTTATACACAGTTGTTTACATTGTCAGAGAATTAAAGGATTATTTCGGCGTCAAATAGATATTTCTACAACAATCCTAAGATGATTGGCTTGTTTAAATTAAAGGTGTGACAAATGTTTTAGATAGGCATTCTTTAATCAATTATCGTAAATCAATTTTCGTGATGAACATGTTTTTGCAATACCCATTTTTTTAAAATATTTGACTTATATATACATATTAATTGACATATATGTTTACGATTGATTCAATATTTATTTCAACATATAATTACTTTCTTATTCTTTGCTCGTAGGATACATAAATATGCCCAAAAGTCATCAAGAGCAGTTTTGCAAGTGGAAGGAATGTAGTTTTCAGACTGTAAAAATGAAACAAAAAAAATTAGAGACGATATTTGGTAATTGGAATTTGAAGTAATAGAAGTAAGTTTTCTTCTTTTTATTACTTTTGACATTTAAGTTATTTATCAATATCAGCTTTGCTTTTCTTTAATCAGCCTGACATTGTCAGAATTGTCAGCAAAAATAAAATTGAGGTACGGTACCACATGGGGAATATCTTAAAAAGTAGATTCGTCATTGAAAAGTGTGAAATTAATTATATTAAACAGGGTTTGCACCAGACTTGAAAATTCCTTGAATTTGATTCCTTTCTTGAAATGTACTTGAATTTAATGTTTGCTTGACAAACACCCAAAAAGGAACTTGAATTTAGCGTTTTGTCCTTGAATTCTGCAAATCTGTACTTGAAAATACAAAAACATTGTAAAATGTATAAATAAAATATTTTTTGAATATGTTATTGACAATATTTAACTTTTTTCCGTACAATCGCAATTGAGGCCTCCACACCCCGAGATAAATTTATTGACCGGATACCGGTATCCGACTATTAAACTTTAAGTGACGTCACTAACTATGGCAGCGCCTGTATGGAATCCATATTATTTGTGGTCATGCTTTAAAATGGGTAAAACGGGTAAGAAATACTCTTTTCAGCAATGTTGGCTTACAAAGCACAATTGGATAAAATCGACAAGGGACTCACATAAAGGTTTGTGCCTTTTTGTATGAAAGAAATCTATTTAACATTGATGGGGGAAAGTGCATTGACCTCGCACGCCAAAAGTTAAAAACATCTCAAAATCAGTCTTTCTTCAAGAAATGTTTAACAATTAACAGTAACATATACGTGGGTTGTCCCAATATTATGTGACAAGATTGTTTAAAAGCTAGATAAAACAGGTACAAATTTGATATTTTAATATGTTATAAACCCGTATAATTTAAACATTTTCACCAATTTTCAAAGAAAAATATCAACAAACAACAAAAATATGCCATAAACATCATTGCAACTAACTGAATCGCAGCGCACGTCCAACGTCAAAAACGGCGTAAAATCTATATAAGGTGCCTCTCTCAAATACTCTTAATGGCTTTCAACACTATAATGGTACCCATAAATCATCAATTTCTGACTTAAATCATGTGGTTGTTAATGTCTGTTGAATGTTTGGATGGCATACATTAATTTTTTCTATACGCAAATTACAGGTCTCGTTACACCTGTTTTTAGCTTAGGAAATAGGCGACGAAGATCGGTCTTACTATCTGTTTTTTCCTTATTTTCGCTTTTTGTAGCGCAAAACTCTGGTTCTATTCATGCCTTTTCACGTAACAGTACACAAGTGCTCAGGATATGTTGCTAAACTGTTCTATTTGGTATATTTGTTGAAATCTCATAATAGTCATGAAACCTGAGTGACATGTTCACTGCGCTGCAAATTCTTCGAACGTCGCCATTTTAACTTTCCTATTTTCTTTGAGAAATGTTCATTTATCCGTAACTTGTTCTTTTCTTAAGTTATTAAGCTAAAATTTTCTGAGTTGATGTAAACATAGCAGCAGAGGAAGTCAACGTGACATTGTGCAGAAACATCATCAGATATTTGAAATATACGTAATTAATTTCAGCCTATTCATAACAAAATGTAAATTATTTGACGTGCGCCGGCAACTCAAACCAATGTCGTTAATACTGAAAATTTATAAGTAACTAGAGTAATTTTTTTGTTAATGATTTGTTGTAATGTTAAATAATAGACTTAACGGTTATATGTGTGAATTATTTTCTATAGGCGTTAAAAATGAACCGGCTATAAAATTTGTCACAGACTTTTGGGACAACCCTCGTATGTAGTGTCATAAAGATCCCATAATGCATAATGAAAATTCGTGTCCCGACTGTAACTTTGTCATGCATGGAAGGATTTTAAAAAAGCGTGGTACAAATGTAAATCACATCAAGAAATTGTGTCGTGTTTAAGACCCAGATCCCAACATCAAAGGTCAAGGTCCCACTGACAGTTTGAAGGTATACAGTGTTTTTCCTCCCTGCTTTGGGAATGGTGCTGGTACCAGACTGATTGGGTAAAAATGCATCGGTTTGACTCAAATTGAGAATTTTATATAAAATGCCAAATGTTCATGGGGAATTACTTTTATCAAGGGAGACATGAGAATTATGTATATATTAGCTTTAAAACCATGTACTGTTAACTTTAATGAATTACTTTGCTACTTGAGGTTGAAAAAACTTGGTAACAATTGTACATAGATAATGTTTAGGTATGAAACACTAAAAGTACGAATTGAACAGAATTGGGTACAATATCTCTCATTTACCAGTGTAAGTTATATAAGGAAAAAAATCACTGGTATACATTCATGTCTAGGACTGTCATTGATGGAAAATTTTGTATCGATATATCGAGAGACAAATATCGACAATACATCAATATATCGACTTCTACAGTAGATATTTTGAAAAAACATTTATATATGTGTTATAAATTAGGATCATGGTGTTATGCATGCTTGTATTACACATTAGAAATACTACAAACTAGCAGAAAGTTTTTTTCTGTTATTCTTGTCACTGACATTTGAAAACGGAGTTTAAAGTTCAAGTTAACCAAAAAAAAAACTAGAAAAAAGTGACTTATCTTATCAGCCAAAATAGAGAGGTATATTAACTAACAGAAATAAAAATGTTTCTAGCTTGTATCGATATAAGAAAGTGTGTATCGATATCGTATCGGATGATGAATAGCGATGATATATCGATATTGCGACAGTCTGTGCGAAAGTCTGTCGGTCCTCGGACCTCGCCAACTAAAAATCAGGAGGGCCGAGATAAATTTCGATACAGTCAGTCCTCATGTCCGAATAAAATTTCAGCCAGTTTGAAACAATTTTTGGCCTAAAATATGCACAACTGTTTTATTTATTATGTTTCTGTATTCTTTTTCTTCATAGTATCTTATAGTTGAGTCTGATAATTCATATTTGCTGAATATTTTTGTTAATTATGGCAATAATCCCTTCCCCCACCCCTACAAAAAATACCTTTCAGAGTCCGGGCCGCAAAAAAATCATCAGGGCCGGAAATAAATCTAAGGATCCCAGTCCTTGTGGCTGGAAAAAAATTTTGACTTTCGCATTGACTGTTGCGATCATCAATAACAGCCCTATTCTGGCTATTCATGTCCCGACTGCAATTTTGTCATGCATTGAAGGATTTTAAAATAACTTGACACAAATGTCTACCACATTAAGATGATGTGACCTTGCATCAAAGACACAGCTGTTGTTATGTTTTCGCCTGAGAATAAATTTGACATGCATGGAGAAATTTTGTTTGATTTGGAATGACAATATTGAGGAGTGGCATGCTCAATACTGTTACACATAATATGTTCCTAGCTTGATTTTGCTTTAAATATTGGGCAAGAATGAGTCATATTTGTAAAAATGAGTATAGTGTAGTTTATGCTGTACAAACTTATTAATAAATGTAATTATATTTTTTAGTTGTAGATGAACCAGTCTGGGACAGATGTTTTATTGAAGGAATCCAGTTGAATGAAATATGGGTTTTTCAAAGTTCAAATATAAAAGGTCTTTAAAGTCTGAAAATGTAAGTCTCTTTTAATGTTTGAAATGTTTTGTCAAACTTTTCATTTCAAGACATTTATTACTCAACTTTTATTTTTTGGGTAGTAGTGTGGTGAATGTGGGGCAGCTGGCGGGCGGGCGGGTAAAATATTTTCCTTACAGTTTTCTCAGCAACTTCTTGTCTCAGCCTCTTGATATTTGGTATACAACATTAACATGTGGTCCCATACTGTTTGATTCGATTTCAGGTCTGTTGCTCATCCTTTTCCTGTTTACCGAATCAGTATCAATGGTAGGAAATTTTAGTAACATCACAGCCTTATGATATTTGACAGGCCTCGACATTAGCGGTGGTCTGTTGGTCCGAGATCACTTGATTTTAGCAAGGACCACCTAATTTTAAAACCGACTGGTCCGTCGGACCACTTGAATTTTCTGGTTGCTGCAAGGCTCATTTGGAAGAATGGCAATTTGGTGAAAAACATGTTATATAATTTTGTTTAAAATCATGTGTCCGATACATGTACTAAAAGTCATGTATATGATCATTAATCTCTGATTAGTTAAAGAAGTTCTTAAGTCATCAGTAACTTTCATTTTAAGTCGTTAAAGTTTTGTTTATGCAAGTTAAAAGAGTTAAGAATTTGTGATATTAATTTAGGTACAAAATTCATTCAAATGGTGCTAGTAATTATGCATCGTCTGATAACCACGGCGGAACCATTAACATTAATTTTATGTTATGTTACATGTTAATCAACCGTGAGTATCCGATGATGGTAATTATATTGGATAAACTTAAATTTCAGATACTTGAATAACGGCAGCAAACAAAAGGAACTGGAAAAAATACAACTAGTAATTCTATGCTACTTATCTTTATTTTAACTGTATAACGATAAAAGATCTATTTCTTCTAGAGTTATAATTATTTTAAAAGGTTAAAAATACCTAATGTCAAAAATGAATATCAACCAACAAGCAACAGGGAGGTAAAATTCTGTATTATAAATCTGTGAGAAATATAAGATAAACTATAGTTATATATAACATTGTTATTATTTTAATAATTTAGATATTTTCTTGTTTTCAAAGACAAGAATAAAAGACAGTAAAAATGTTTATCTATAAAAGATACTATGTTATTATCATGATTATAAGACGTACCACATATCAGCAATGAATATTTGAATAACAGTAAGAAAAAAACAGACACAAATGGCTTCACTTTTCCCTAACTTGAGTTGAGGGAGAAATCACTTGAATATTATTATAAAGATTTTCATATTAGTCATATTATAATTATTTCACAATTGAGAACTGACTGAATTTTTCTGTCATTCTTCATAGAAAGGTGGTTGACAGGATTTGGCTTTATTATGTACAAGAATATTGACTGCTTTTATAAAACAATATAATACAATTTATTCAGTGTACATCTTACAAACTTTTAAGCAATAATAATAAACAAATTTTCCAACGGAAAAAAAAACAATTTATTTTAACATTTTGACCATATTACTGACTATTTAATAAAAAAAATGAAAAACATGCCTAGAGATATTGACGTCTGGGTTGACATAACATTAATTTAAATGATTTAACTCTTATATTTAATAAAAAATTGAATATTCAAATTTGGTAGAACAGACTATAGTATTTGTTTGAATAGTTTTTTCTATTATTAAATTTTACATAGTGTCCAAATCTTAAATTAATAATTTCTTTTTTCCTATTTCTGCTATCATTCTATTTTCAATACATATAAATTGTAACTGTTAGTACACTTGGTAAACTTTTTGATGTTAATCTATCCAATAAATGACCAATTTTCACTGAGTGGCAAGTGAGTATATCGAGATATAATTCAGCATTTTGTTTTGGTAAACATCCGAAAAACATAAAATGATTTGTTTTGATTTTAAATTTGATATTGTAAATCATAATTTAAATGTTTTATAAATTTGTTAAAAATATAATGGCCAATATTTCCCTTTTCTTTTATCATTATATCAAAGTAATATTAAATTAGTCTTTATTGCTACAAATACAGGAATATAATGTATTAAGTTTAAAATATCTGGAAAAAAAGAGTCAGAAAAATAGAAATGTTTGGAAAGGTTACTGCATACATTAAGATTATATCATTTCAGGTGCCAATGTCTGAGGGGTGTAACATGACCAAATCTGCTACAGATATGCCATATTTTAAGGAGGTACATCATTTTGATTGACATCTCTAGAGGATTAAAATCACTGGATTTTGGGATCAGATGATCAGTACAGCTTGTGACAGTAATAAGAAGGAATAAAGAAAACTAATTTTCATCAAATTGATTATAAGGTAAGAGAAAAAATTCATTATCTTATTTTCTTGCTAGTGATAAGTGAATTAAGTAAAGTATTTGTTTACCAAGATTTTGTATACATTTGTATTTATCTGTAAGAAAACATATATTATACACTGTGGGCATGTATTACTTTTAGCAAAGACAATTAATGCAGAGCCAGATTTGCAGGGCATTTTGGTAACAGACTTTTTAGGTAAAACGATATCTGTTCCAAGATTCCAAAAGGAATTTTAGCACTAAGTAACTTTATTTAATTTTTTTAAATGATCTGAAAAAACTTTATTAAGTTGATTTAGTTTGAACTTGAAGGGTGTGAGATGTAATTACTCAAGTATTTTTTTATTTTTTTTTTTAATTATTTTAAAGTTTGACAAGTCTCTTTTTCTTGCATCATGCATTCTGTTAAGTAATTCAACTTTTACTGACTATTATTAAATCGTCAGTGCTGTTGGAAGGATTCTAGGAGTATAAACAATTTTACTTTAATGGGAAATATATTTTTTTTTTCAATCCAAGAAATGAGTGTTATCTACACAGGTCAACAGATATATCAGAGTAACAAATCAGCAATGTTTGTTATATTTGAATTTGTCTGATGTACAAGCACATTTGATAGTTATTCAGTCGACTCTGCAAATAACAGTTTTTTTTTACATTTTAGTCAAATCTATATAGCCTCTAAGAAAATATGCCATCTTTTATTACAACTATTGATTTAAAATGCAATGGTAATGCTGTTTTTTGTGTGTATTAAATACAACTCATTTAATAAAGGTAGTATACCCCTAATGCATTACCTATTGAAATAGGCTAAATTACTGTAAACTGCTTTGAAACTGATGGGGGGTAGGTTCAAAACCCAGAAAGAGCAACATTTTTTAGCCTTTTTTAGCTCGACTATTTGATAAGAATAAGTAGAGCTATTGCAGTCACCCGAGCGTCGGCGTCGGCGTAACCACTAATGTTAAAGTTTTTGTAATAGTTCAAATATTTTCAAAGTCCATTTGAAACTTTGCACACTTGTTCACCATCATGACCCCAACCTGTAGACAGGAGTAGGTAACTCTATCAAGCATTTTGACAGAATTATGCCCCTTTTTCGACTTAAAATTTACGTTAAAGTTTTTGTAATAGTTCAAATATTTTCAAAGTCCATTGACATATGGCTTTGAAACTTTGCACACTTGTTCAACAGCATGACCCCAACCTGTAAACAGGAGGAGGTAACTCTATCAAGCATTTTGACAGAATTATGCCCCTTTTTCGACTTAGAATTTACGTTAAAGTTTTTGTAATAGTTCAAATATTTTCAAAGTCCATTGACATATGGCTTTGAAACTTTGCACACTTGTTCAACATCATGACCCCAACCTGTAAACAGGAGGAGGTAACTCTATCAAGCATTTTGACAGAATTATGCCCCTTTTTCGACTTAGAATTTATGTTAAAGTTTTTGTTATAGTTCAAATATTTTCAAAGTCCATTGACATATGGCTTTGAAATTTTGCACACTTGTTCACCATCATGAGCCCAACCTGTAAACAGGAGGAGGTAACTGTATCAAGCATTTTTTTTACTATCAAGCACTAAGAATAGTCGAGAGTTGCTGTCCTACTGACAGCTTTTGTTTTATCTTCTTTTGAAAATTATTAATGTATCTCTCAGAAACCTTATGGATAAAAAAGTGTTTGATTTCAATTATATAATTATTGTAGTTATTTATTGGGTAAACAATACTAAATATAAAAAAATATGGTACCTGATATTTTCAAAGTGTAATAAAATCAAAAATAGACGGTAATGGTATTTAATATTTTACAAGATCAAGCAATCTACTTTTGTGAAAATTTAGGGAAACTTGAACATGCTCAATCAAACCGAGCCTGCAACATTTTCCATTTTGACGTGCTGGACTTTCTTTAGGGATTCTGTTTCCCCTATTTTAAGAAACCGGCACTCATTTTGGTAACTTTTAGGGATTTTTTTAATTAGGCCCTAAGCTGGAAAATGGTCAAACATCTGTTTATATGGGTGGGGTTGTGTAAATTTTATAAATTTAGAGTAGAAACAATCATTTTGCTTATGTGGATAGTAAGCTGAATGTTAATTTTTATTTCTTACCAAAAATTAATGGGAAATTTTTTTTCATAAGGGTGATATTATCGATTATTTAGAGTTTGCTCATTTCTGAAAAAAGAGCAAATCTAATAGCAGAGTTTAAGATCAGAAAAATATCCATTACTTATAAACCATACAGTTAATTTTGTTTAAATTTTGAATAGAGGTGTCTTTCAGGGCATATAACAGTCCTACGTTGTCCATTTTACAGTTCCTTTTAGTACCCACTAGGGGTAGTCTACCTAAATAATGCATGATAAAAGCTGAATTGATATTTTATCAGTTTGAGGGTTTAATAAGTTTGTACAAGTCTAAGCATAATTTCCAAAGAATAAGATTTAACCTATTACTTCATGAGCATTTTGTGAAAAATGGCTGTTTTCATTGAAAAGTCTCCCATTACAAGTTCAAATTGTTATCAAACTATAAAAACTGCTTCAATACTAATCAAACTTGGCACAAATATTGACTGGACCATTGCCTTTGCAACATCATGCTCAGGCTTACATTTTCCATTTTGGCCAGATATACGTCGTCTGTCCTTCCTTAAACTTTTGCTTTAAATGACATCTCCTCATAGACCACCAAGCCAATTTCTTCTAGGAGTGTTCCTTTGGTGGTCATCTTTGTAAATTATTCAAAGCATTTAATTCCATGTAGAGCTCTGGTTGCGGGAAAAACTTAAAAAATCTTCTTTTACAAGAGCTAAAATAGTTGGCATGTAACATCTTCTAGTGATAGTGTACCAATTTTACAAATAAAAGCCCTGGGTTCAAATTTGGCCTGCCCTTGGGGTCTTTTATTTTTCTTATATGTATGTAGTCAAATAAAATTTTAAAAAATCTTCTTTTAATAACACAAAGAGCCAGAGCTTAGATATTGAGCATGAAATATTTTCCAGTGAGTGTCTACCAAGTTCAGCCATAAGGTTCAAATTGGCCCCGCCCAAGGGGGCTATTGATTTTCGTTATATTTAGACATCTTTTGGAACTGTTGTTTTCTTCCCGTAAAAATAGCAACACGTAAGTTTTTACACATGCACTATTTCAGATAAAAATATGAACTTTGTGAAATCAGGTTAATATTTAGATTTTATTCTTGTTTTATGAATCAATATTCTTAGTATGATGGTAATATACTAATATACATAGTATGGTATATAATAATGTTGCTGTATTATTTGTTTTGTAATAATATCAAAAATTAGTTTTGTGTGAGTTTGTCTTGGATTTAAGCTATTCTTGTTTGTTTGGATCATTCTTTTCTGCTATTTTGGTTTTTAGCTCGACTATTCCCAGAATAATCAAGCTAATGCCGTCACTCATTTGTTGGCGTCGGCATCCCTGTGGTTAAGTTTTTGCGTGTAAGCAAGCAACTCCACAACTACTGAAGGGAATGAATTGAAGCTTCACACACTTGTTCTCTGTGATTATCTAACATGATTGGCACAAGTCCCATAATTCTTATTTGCTTTTTTGCGTATTTATGCCCCTTTTTTGACTTAGAAATTCTTGGTTAAGTTTTTGTGTGTAAGCTGGTATCTCCATAACTACTGAAGGGAATGGATTGAAACTTCAAACACTTGTTCTCTGTGATTATCTAACATAATTGTCATAAGTCCCATAACTCTGATTGGCATTTTTGTCAAATTATGCCCCTTTTTCGACTTATTGGTTAAGTTTTTGCTTGTAAGCTGGTATCTCCATAACTACTGAAGGATTTAGCCTTTTTTGGGGGTCAATTTTATGCATTCATAATAAAAAATCAGTGATTAACTCGATAAAACATCTAATAACAAGCCTTTGTACCTTTTCGGACAATTTTATGTATTCATAGAGGACAGCATTATTATACTAAATGAAACAGCCTCACTCTGCCTACAATATTTACAGAATTATGCCCCTTTTTAACTTAGAAATTTTGGTTAAAGTATTTTTTTAAGAATTATTACTTGAGATATTCAATTGAAATTTACAAAACTGTTTTATAGTAACAATGTACATCAGTTTGCAAAGTTGCAATAACTCTGCCTGCAATATTTGCAGAATTATTTGCCCTTTTGAAACTTAGCAATTTTGGTTAAATGTCTTAAGAACTAATTGAAACTTTACCAGAGCTGCATTACTGGTACTGGTACTGCAGTACGTACTGCAGCAATTCTGCAAGTACTGGTACTGATACTGAATTACTCTTACAAAATTTTGCTACTACTGGTACTGGTACTGCATTACTGTCTTAAAAAGTGGTACTGCTACTGCATTACCCAGTACTTTTGGTTTTGATAGAAATTAAAAATAGCATCAATTTTCCTCATAAAATAAAGCTGTAAATTACATTAACTATATTTTATTTTTGTGAAAAAGTAAGTTATCAAATCTAAAGATAATTTGCTGCAATATTCCTTCAAATGTTAACATAGTATTCATCATAAAAAGCACCAAAGACTTTAAGTAAATAAACAGACTCAATAACTCTTTACCCTAAAATATCCTTATTAAAATCTTTTATTACTTTGTATTTACAAGTAAAAGAGCAAAATAAACAGTAATTAATTTGTTCTATTCTAAATAATCCCATTTCAAGTGAAAAAAGTGACATTGTTAGCACCATAAAAAGTTGTCATTTACTTTGGTATAAATTGAACAGAGGTGTGAAAGGCAACAAAAGACTGTTGTGTTTTAAATGAAAGATGTTTGCATTGTATTTATACAGTTGACTGGTTACTAAACAATTAGATATGACATGAATATATGTTGTAAATATTGTTTGTAAAAAGTATGTTAAAACCATAAAGTTGTAAATATGTTATGTTAACTTTAAAGTAAATGATTTTATTTCTTTGCTGAATAATATTTGCAATTATTTGTTTGAGACT